AGCAGTGAAAATGTTCTCAAGTAGAATGGGTTGTAAGCCAAGGTGGGTGCTCTGAGGAGTGCCAGGAGGCCTGTCCCAACCTGAAATACCTGTGTCTCACTTATAGCATCTTGTCATTAGATCTATTCCTCCATTCCTTTGGTTTAACAAGCCAGGACTTCTTTGGATTTGCCGAAGCTCTTGGAAGCAACGTCAGTCACATTTTCTAGTCATTCAAGCAGAGTAGGCTCATGTATCCCGTCTCCGACGCCCAGAGATTATACAACCTCTGTGTGCCTCCGTTGCCTGCTCAAAATGGGGATGGTGAGCCTGCCTCCCCAGGGTTGTCGTGGGGACGTGTTAGAATAACGTGCATAAGTGAGATTCTTGCATTTGTCTCCTTGCTGTGGAACAGTCCACTGTGTGCCTGCACCACGATGTAGTCATCTGTTTTATGGCTGGTGACTTCCAGATTGTTTCTGGTTTGGGATTTTGTGGATAGTGCAGCTATGAACCTTGTGACCCACTGCAGTTGAGTTCATGACCACTCGTGGTGCCCCTATAATATAGGATAGAACTGCCCCACAGGGTTTCCAAGCCTGTATGCTTTACGGGATACTTCCATCTCCCATGGAGTGGCTGATAAGTTCCGACCACCGACCTCTTAGTTAGCAGTCGAGTGCTTAACCACTGTACCACCAGGGCTCCTTTTATGACATAGTGGCTAAAGCATTCAGCTGCTAACTAAAAGGTCAGTGGTTCAAACCCACTAGCTGCTCTGCGGGAGAAAGATGAGGCCGTCTGCTTCTGTAAAGATTACAGCCTTGGAGGCTCTGTGGGGCAGTTTCACTCTGTCCTTCGGCGTTGCTGTGAGTCGGGATTGACTCAGCGGCAATGAACTTTGAGTGCCTGCCCTTGGTCGGCATTTCCGTCTGGTGAATCTAGGAGCGGAGTTGCTGGGTCTCCTTTATGTCACATTGGTTCGCAGGCCATATTTCTCCAAGTCTGAGTCTTAAAATTCCCACACTGGGCTGGGTGCTAAGTGCCTGGGGGAAGGGGCTAATCGATGGGAGAAGGAGAAGGGACAAGGGCAGGGCCCCTGAGAACCCACGGAGAACTGCCCCGGATTCAGTCACGTCCCAGTTGTTATCTTCCTCCCTGATTCTCTCAGATGGAGTTTATTTTTTGACTTCCAGTATCTGGTGGCGCAGGGGTTAAGCATTCAGCTGCTAACCGAAAGGTCAGTGGTTTGAACCCACCACCCACTTTGCGGGAGATGGATGTGGCAGTTGGCTTCCATGAAGATTGACAGCCTTGGAGACTCTGTGGGGCAGTTCCGTTCTGTCCTCTAGGGGCTCTGTGAGTCGCAATTGACTCAATGGTGGTGGATTTAGTATCCTCCCCGGGCCGCCCCCAGCCGCTTGCCCTGAAATATACCTTTACTACACACCTCTACCCCTCTCCCAACCTCAGTCCTCCCCTCAGCATCTCCCATATAGAAGTCCTGGCACCCTCTGGGTCCTCTTCCCTAAACATCCTTTTCTGAGTGCACCCACCCCACCCCCATCAGCCACAGCATGTCCATGAAATGAGTATGGAGCTCCCGCTGTTTATCCGTCTGTTCTTAGAGGTGCAGGACAGGGATGGAGCCTGGAAAGCAGTCTGCAACACGGGGTGAGGATCGCAGTCCTGTGAGGTGCCCATCCAACAACGGCCCCACATGGTGCAGGGTTGGGGCTTTCTCTGGGGGTCGGGGCAGAATCAGGGAAACCCACCCAGGCACTGCCCTTTAAGAAAAGCAAAGCAAAACAAACAGTGTGCTAGTGCCGGCTAACAAGACCGTCTACAAACGGAGAAGCAGTCTGCTCCCTGCCTGTTAGACCTGAGAGAAGAGCGGTCCCTTGAGGACGGGCAGCTGGGATTGAGGCAGGAGGAAGGGTTCTTGCGAGCGCAGGAGGTCTCCCTGGGGAGGCGCTGAGCCCCCCTCTGGGCTGGGTTCCACTTCGTGATAAAGTTCTCCAGTGTGAGACTAAACACATGACAGACTTCCCACTCCGTACCGCACTCTCGTCTTCAAGGTCCAGGGGAGAGGGCGGCTGGACGGGCAGTCCCGATGGGTGTCAGACGCAGCCCATCCATTAAGCCGTAACGGAGCTCCTGCTGCTTGTGGGTTTGCTGTGAGAGAGCCTGGGCAGGGCCTAGGGCCTGAGAGCAGTTTGCAGCATGGGCTGAGGGTCTGCATTCTGTGAGGTGCCCCCTCTGGCGACAGGAGGAGGTCCCCCTGGAGGTCTAACTTCATTCCCTCTTGCTGTAGTTGGGCCCCAGTTAGACCCTCTTCCCTGCCTTTGCTTTGTGTGCCCTCGCCTGGGGGTGGGCTTGCCTCCTTTCTGATAACAGGAGGGACAAGGACGTGATGCTGATCTGAGGCCTCCTTTCTAGTCTCGTGCGGCTTCTCTGGAGCATGCGTGGCTCTTCCTTCCTGTCTTTTCTTGAAGGAGTGGAGGTCGAGGCCATCTGTGTCTGCCCTTCTGGGCCCTCAGCCAGGATTCAAACCTGGAGAGTCCTGCAGAAATGCTCCTTAGCTCTGTGGCCATCTGCGGCCCTGGCCCTCGGCACTCAGGGGCTCTGGAGCTGCTCTTATCAGGGGTAGTGATGTGGCGGCCAGGGCCCCCCAGCGCCTGTCCTTGTCCGCTCAGCTGCCCAGAGCTCAGAGGCCTTGGTTGAACTTCCGGGGGTGGCCATGGGCAGGGAGACCTGCCCTCCTTCCTCCAGCTGTGGGAGAGCAAGTGACAGCTCTGTTCTCAAGTGCCAGGGAAGTCCCCGTTGTCTGGTGACATGGGGGTTCGTTTGATTTCCAGGCTCTGGTGGTAAAGGGTTGGAGTGAGGAGTCAGGGCCCGAAGGGGCAGGGGAGGATGGGCAGAGCCTTTGAGGAGGAGGCCCAGGGTATAAATGCTCCCTGTCTGTGATGTGAGGGTCCATCTGTATCTCCCCACTTCCCAACTTTCCTTATTTCTATGGAAATACGAAGGGATGGTGCTAGCTCCGAGATGCATTGCTGGGCCGTCACATTAAATACATTCCAATTTAGCTGATGCCAAGAGTGGGGCAGTGAGTAGGGCAGTGAACAGGCCCAGAGGAGGGGGCGTGTCCGGGGGGGCTGGCTACACGGGCTGGGCCAGGCTTTCCTCCCAGGCACCCCTACTCTGACTGTCGATGGTTCCTGGATAGGAAATGTGCTCGGTGTCCTCCAGAGCTGCTTGGGACAGGGGAGGGGACTGTCCCCTGAGGTTACAGCTTCTCCAGAAGGAGCCTGGGTGCCAGCAAGGGGCCAGGAAGGAGGCAGGGAGGGCCTCTCGGGGGTCTAGGGCCACAACAATGGGGGGCGGCCTTACCGAGCCATGCAGGAGGGGAGGACCTGAGGCCTGGGTGGCGGCTTCCTGCACATCCGCACACCCCGCCGTCCTCTGGACTCCCTCCCTCTCCTGTGCACACTGGCTTCGTCCCTTGCATGAAGGGCAGTCAGAACCCCAAATGTCTCTGAGGATTCCCGGGGCCTTAGCTTCCCCTGTCCACTCTTGCTCTGGTCTCTGGCTTTTGCTGGACTATCCAGCTTGAGGTCTCCCCTGCTGCCCGTCTCCCCAGCTCTCAGCTAGGGGACTGGGCAGCCCTGGGCTTTTTCTAGGGGGAGGGCAGCCCTTTGCCCAAAGATGGGTTAAGCCCATGAGTGGAGGTGATGGGGTGGGGCTTCAGAGCACACCCAGCACGGAAAGGGGTGAGCAGTCCCTCTTGGAGGGGGACTTTCAGAGCCCTGCTTGCTGGCAAGGGGCTTCCCCTGCTTGGTGGAGCCTCTCGGCACTGCCCAGTAGCCCCAGGCCCTGCCCTCTGGGTGGCTGAGCCCAGCTCCTTGTCTCCTAGGCTGCCCGGGAGACGCCCCCCTCCCTCCCTGAACTGTTTATTGTTTGTTGTTATGTGCAGTCGAGTCGGACCTGACTCATAGCGACCCCTCCTTGGGTTTCCGAGGTGGTATCACTATGGAAGTAGATCGCCCAGCCTTCCTTCCGAGGAGTGGCTGGTGGGTTTGAACCGCCAGCCTTCTGGTTAGCAGTCAAGTGCCTTAGGCACTATGCCACCAGAGCTCCCCCTCCCTGACTACAGGGAGTCGTTTTGCTTCTCCATTGTCTTACTCCTTCGACATCTGGACTGCAGGCCCCTCAGGGTTTAGCTGAGCACGGCAGCCCTCTCTCTGCAGGGCTCTGTGCAGTCTTGCAGCAACACTTGCTTCCTTCTCATTACCCTGCTCTCCAGGGGCCCTGGGGGCAAGACGCTGAGGCGGAGACCCTCAGGGCTCATGGAGTGAACCCCCTCCTGTTACAGAAGGGGGTTCTGAGGCCAGGGAAGGAAGGTGACCCCCCGTGAGTCCGTTCTGTGGTGGCCTAGGCTTTCGCCCTGGTCTGCCCCAGGCCTCCGCACCGCTCAAGGCCTCCCCACCCCCCATCTGCTCTGCTGGCCTCAGTCTCTGGGGGCTACTAGGTTCTAGGCCAGAAGGCACAGCTATTGGGCCTCAGCTACTGGCTGCCTGCAGAATGGGGCTGGGAATGTGGGTGGCTGGCTGCTAGAGCCTGGGGGTGGGGCGCAGGCCGCCCAGGGGAACTGGGGATTGAAGGAGGCCAGCCAGCGTCTAGGGAGGTGCCTCTAGGGAGCGTGTGGCCACCTGGAGCCACTGCTGGGCCTCTGCTCTGCAGGGCGAGCCTCTAACCTGGCTCTGTGGTCTGGCCAGGCCTGCTGCTCTAGCAACGGAGTAGCCGGGGAGCCCCCACAGTCACCAGGCCCTGACTTCAGAGTGGTCTCGCCTGCCTCGGTTTTATCCACCAGCACCGCCCCTCCCCCCCGCCCCAGTCCATCGCACTCCTTCGGGGAAGGGGTCACCCTGGCCACAGCTGACAGCCGTTACTCACCAGGACTGCCCTGTGAGGCCAAGAGCCTACAGGCTCCAGCATGCCCGTCTGGCACCCACCATCGGGCTGGTACCCCTGGAGCTGTGCAGAGCAGCGGGACAGCCAGACCGCCTGATGTCCTCTTACTGTTCCAGCCAGAACGGTGGCAGCCCCTCTTCCTTCAAGCTGGTGCTCCGGGCCCTGATTGGAAGGTGGTTGTGAGGCATGGATGGTGGGCTTGGGCAGGGCCTCAGGCGTGAGAGAGCCGTGAAAGAGTGACCTGTTTCCCCAGCTCTGAAGCTGAAAGAAGCCCTGGTGGTGCGGTGGCTACAATGCTCTGCTGCCAATCTAAAGGTCAGCGGTTCTAAACCACTCCGTGGGAGAAAGATGTGATAGTCAGCTTCTGTAAAGACTGCAGCCTTATAAACCCTACGGGCATTTTTGCTTGGTCCTACGGGTCACTGTGACCTGGCATCAATGGCCCTGGGTTTGATTGTGGTTTCTGTGAAGTTGAAAGAGAGAGGGAGCTAGCTATTTCTCTCTTCTTTGTTTGATTGATTGGTGATTGGTCCAGCGTCAGTGTGTGTGTGGTGTGGGGCAGAGTGGCAGGAGAGACTAAGTTAGCTCCATTTAGTGCTACTTTGAAATTTCCCTGTCCCAGTGGATTTTCTAGACAGATCTCCTCCCTTCTCTGGCGTTGCGGCGGGGAGACCGTTTGCTGGGCTTCTCTTGGCGGTGGGTGTTGTCCCCTCCCGTCTTTTCTGTGCCCACTCTTCCCAGCCCCACCCCATTCTTGCCGGTCTTCTTGGGCACTGCGGTCTCTCCTTCTGTGCCCCACCCCAGCCATACCTGCTCTGTGGAGCCGGACCTCGGCTCTTTCAGAAAACCACAGCTCCCCCTGCTCTGAACTTGACATCCAGCTGGTGTCTCCTCCTAACCTCAGGCGGGCTCAGCTGGCCAAGAGGTGACATAAGTCAGTATGAAAAAGCTGCATGAGTAGCTGGACCGGGCCCGGTGCCAGGGGTGATGGGGGCCAGCAAGGAGATGTCACAAGCAGCCCTGGGAACGTGGGAGCCTCTTGGGGTCCCCTTCCCCCCCATGACCCCAAGCCTGCAGCAGAGGGGATAAGCCTCCAGCCTCCTTCCCTCTTCTGCTGCTTCCCCACTCTGTCGCTGTCCTCAGTGGCTGCTAAGCTTTCTCTCCTGCCACCAGCCTGGGGCTGTGGCACTGGGCTTGCAGATGGGGCCTGGCATTCTTGCCTTGAGCTGGGGACACTTAGGTCAAGTGCGGTACAATGCCGACACTCCTACGGTCCCACAGAGGGGGAGTGGCAGAGCAGGGGAGAGCCCACACATCCTGTGTCCAGCCCTGCCTGCCCCTCTGTGTCCGCTGGGCTGCCCCAGCTCGTCCCTTCTACAAAGGGGGTGCTGTTAGTGCTTGTACCCTCGGCCCTGACTGTTCTGAAGCACACAGACCAGACTTAAGCTTAGCACTTGCGTTTCTTGGCCTGGGAGCCTCCTTTGGCCCTGTGCCACCCCACAGCAGCCTGAAGGTGCTGCGAGATGCTGGTCCCGGGAGTAGCCCTCAACCCACTCCAGGGAGCACCGTGCTACGGCTCCTTCCCCCCCAGCCGTCCACGGTGGTGACGGTGGTGACATGCTTCAGATGGCCCTCCTTTCTTGACCTCCTCCTTCCCCGTCTCACTTCCCCTCGGCCCATCCCCGGCCCCGCCAGTGCGGGAATCACTGGGGGTGCTTACCGTTCCGCACACCCTGCTCCGTGAGTGGTTAGAGCCTGGCTGCCGGCTTTGCAGTGAGCTGAGCATCAGATGGCTGTTTGGAGGGGCTTTTTGAAACCTACACGAGATCTCATTAGAGGCGAGGCGGGGGCTCGCTCCCTCGCACCGGCAGACACAGCACTAATGATCGGGACTGACTGGAAATGAAATTGCTGCGAATCTGGGCTGGTTAACGGGATTTTGGGTGGCACGGCTCCTGTTCACCGATTCTTTTCACCGCTCTGCCTGCCCGGGCACCATGTGCTCCCAGTGCAGGGCAGGCTGCTGCCTTGGCCCTGGGGGGTCCTGCCCTGGTCTGAGTGGAGCTTTGTTGAGTCTGGGCTAGCTTTTGATTCAGGACAAACACACTCCAGCTTTCTAGCAGGAATCTGGGGCGTGGAAGGGTCAGGGCCCAGAGGCTGAGCGGGAGAGTTTGCTTTCTTTAATGCCACTGGGAAATTTCCCATCTCAACTGGTTTTGGTTTTTTGAATCTCGCCCCTTTTCTAGCTGTGCAGCGGGTGGCCCATTGGGCTCTTGGGTGGGGCGGACATTGTTCTCCTAACTTCCTTCCGACCCACCCTGTCCATCTTCTAGGACATTACCTCTCTCTTGCCTCCTCTGCAGTGATGGGCCCCAGACCCCTAGAGCACAGACTCCCCACCTCGCCCACGCATCCATCTCGCATGAGGAACAAGTACTGTGTAGATTCCTGAGCCCCGAGCCCTAGAGATTTAGGTCAGCGGGGGCCCTGGAATCTGAGTTTTAACAGCCTGGTCAGGAGATTGTCATGTGGGTGGATGATCCAGGAGCTCTGTTTGGAGCTTGGTGTTGGGGTCTAGGGGGGGCCCCTGCCCCTCACAGACCTGAGGGTTGGTCAGCCCCACGACAACTCAGATTACATTTACAGCTCTGCTTTACAGTCGATAAACCGAGACCCAGAGAGGTTAAGCGGTTCCCTCACGACACAGCTGGCTGTTCTCTGTAGGAGAGGGGGGTCCTTTCCTTGCCCCTCCCCTGCTGTGGCCGGAGGAGTGTCTGGGAGGTTGGGAGGGGGCGGGTCTGCGCTGTCTCAGCCCGGAGACCCGGCGGTTGCAGGTGGTCTGGCGGCTGACTGTGCCTCCACTCTGCCCGCAGTGCTGGGTGGCCTGGAGTCGCGTGGCGTGCTCCGTAAGATGAGTGACCTGTTGGAGCTGATGGTGAAGCGCATGGATGTGCTGGCCAGGCTGGAGAACAGCAGCGAGGTGCGCCGGCCTGCCGGGGACGGGCACTTCGCTGTGGACAGGTGAGGGGCTGGGGGGAGGGGCAGGCGCGTGGCAGCCAGGTGCGCTGAGTGCTGCACCCCCTCAGAGCGCACTCCCTGAGCTCGGCCTGCAGGGCCTTGGGCACCGCTTGTTTGTTACTGTGGAGCAACGCTTAACATATATGTCACCTGGGTTTCACAGGTGTTAACGTGTCACATCCGGGCCTGCCGTTCCTTTTATCTTTTTAAGACAACATCACAGATGTTGCTGAAAGCCTTTAACTACCTCTCCCCAGAGATGAGGAGCTCTGGTGGTACAGTACCTAAGGCATCTGACTGCTGATCAGAAGGCTGGTAGTTCAAACCTACCAGCCACTCCTTGGAAGGAAGACTGCACAATCTATTTCTGTAGAGATACTGCCTTGGAAACCCAAGGAGGGGGGTTGCTATGAGTTGGATCTGACTCGATGGCAGTGAGTTTGGTTTTTGGTTTTGGTTTCCCTAGAGACAAATACCTTTCTGAATGAGGTGTGAGCTTCTGCAGTCCATTCGGGACACCCCCCCCACACACACACACACGCGTGCTAACACCAGAAACACACAGGGGATTTGAGGGAGGGAGAGTGGCACATGCAAGGCCTTGGGGCTGCAATGAGCTTGATACACGGGTGGCAAAGACCCAGCAGGAAGGCCCACGGGGCGGAGGGATGAGGGATTGGTGGGGCCTGAGGAGGCTGCCAGTCATGGTAAGTAGCCTTTGGACGCTAATCTGAGCGCCCTAGGAAGCCACCAGAGGGTTTGAAGCCAGGGATGTTGTTAGCTGCTGTCACACTGGCCCCAGCTCATGGTGACCCCATGCCAACAGGATGGGACCATTGAGATCCCAGGGCTCTCATTGGCTGGTTTTTGGAAGTGGATTGCCAGGTCTTCCTTCCTAGTCTTAGTCTGGAAACTCAGCTGAAACCCGTTCAGCATCCCAGGACCACTCAGCCCTCCACAGACAGACGGACGGTAGCTGTGCATCAATCAGGTGCACTGGCTGGGAAATGAACCTGGGTGTATGGAACGCGAGAATTCTCAGAAAGACCCCTCTGACTGCTGTGTGCAGGACGGGTTAGTGGGGTGGCTGGAGGTGAAGCCGGGAGGCAATGGCAGAGGCAAGGAGATGAGCTGAGGGTGTTGGGCTCCCCTCAGTGCCCTCTGGGGCAGGAGACCACCTGCTTCTCAGTGTCCGGTATTGTGTAATCCCTCTGACCCAGCCCCCGTCTCTTCTCTGATCCAATCCACTGCCTGTCTTCCTCCAGCCCTCCTGCTGCCTCTGGCCCTGACCACTGTCCACAGGCCTGTCTGGTGTGGACAGCAGGGCCACACAGCTGCACATTCACTCACTGTTTCTCTGGTTTCTTTCCGTCCTGGCTGCCCCTCCCTCCCCTGCCCTGCCTCTCTCTCCTCCCAGGGAGCCCAGGGTGGGTAGCCTCCCTGCTACATTCTGGGAAATAGCTACCATCCATCACTAGCAGAACCATCAAAGTCCACAGGCAGAGCCATGCATTTCAGGGACTGTTGCCTCTCTGGCTCCCAGGAGAAGAGCAGTGGGCGTGTCCAGGGCACAGGGAGCCCACTGCTCACGCCTCCTGGGCACAGACACTCCGGCCTCCTCCCCACCCTTAACCCAGCTGCTGTGGCCCGGTGCAGCTACACAGGCGAGAATCATGTGGCCTCTGTGACCCACGTGTGGCTTCTCTGCTTCGGAATGATCTGTGGCTTTAAGAAGAGTACCCCACTGTCCCCTTCCTACACGTCTGCTAGCTTCTGGCCTGTCCTCTTCCACTCATCGCTCGTGTGCCTCAGTGAAACCAGATGTACTCTCCTGGCCTGTTGCTTCGCGGTGCCACTGAGTCGGCTCCGACTCCTCGCTCCTCCACGTGCCACAGAATGAAACAGTGCCCGGTCCCGTGCCAGCCTCACATCAGTGCTGTGCTTGAGCTCGTCATTCCAGCCACTGTGCCGTTCCATCTCGTGGAGGGCCTTTCCCTCTTACGCTGACCCCTACTTTACCGAGCATGACGTCCTTCTCCAGGGACTGGTCCCCCCGATCCCATGGCCAAAGTACGTGAGATGAGGTCTCACCATCCTCCCCCAAGGAGCATCCTGGCTGTACTTCTTCCAGGACAGGTCTGTTCATCCTTCTGGCAGCCCGTGGCATATCAGTACTCTCTGCCGGCACCGTAATTCAGGTGCATCAGTCGTTTCATCTTCCTTCTTCACCTTCCAGCTTCCATATACATACGAGGCAGTGGAAACTGCTAAGGCCAGGTGCACCTCAGTCCTCAGAGTGGCCCGTTTGCTTTTCAACACTTTCAGGAGGTCTCTTGCAGACTTTCCTAAGGCAGTGCATTGTTTCATTTCTTGGCTGTTGTTTCCATGGGCATTGACTGTGGACCTAAGTGAAAGGAAATCTTTGACAACTTCAGTCTTTTCTCCATTTATCATGATGTTGCTTATGGGTTGAGTTGTGAGGATTTTTGTTTTCTTTATGTTGAGGTATAATCCTACTGAAG